GGACCACCCTGCCTAACATGGTGCAGGATGACCAGGGTGAGGATGAATATATGCCCACCATTGATGTGGATCTTGTAAGGGAGCATCTTGAGAGGCTGGACACCCCCCCCCCCCGATCATCTGGTCCGGATAGGTTGCACCCAAGAGTGCTAAAGGAACTGGCAGACATGATAGCACAGCCACTGGTGAAGATATTCAAGAACTTGTGGTGCTCAGGCAAAGTACCTGAAGATTGGAAGAGGGCCAATGTGGTGCCCATCTTCAAGAAAGGGAGGAAAGATGACCTGGGAAACTACAGGCCAATCAGTTGGACCTCAGTCCCTGGGAAGATTTTTGGAAAAAATAATCAAAAAACTTGACGGGCAACATTCTGAGGGATAGCCAGCATGGGTTTGTTGCAGGTAGGTCCTGCTTGACCAATCTCATTTCCTTCTATGACCAGGTGATGCATCAGCCAGACAAAAAGGAAGAGGTCAATGTCATATATTTGGACTTTAAAAAAGCCTTTGACCTGATGTCCCAGGATGTCTACATGGAAAAATTGGGCAATTGCAGTCTCAACTACTCCACAGTCTGATGGCTGAGGAACTGGGTCTGAGGTCCAGCCCAGAGAGTGGTAGTTGACAAAACTGAATCACCATGGCACTCAGTGACTAATGGCACCCCCCAGGGCTCCATTCTCAGACCTGTACTCTTTAATGTCTTCATAAACGATCTGGACACTGCCGTCAAAAGTGGACTGGCTAAGTTTGCTGACAACACCAAACTTTGGGGAAGAGTGTCCACACTTGAGGGTAGGCTGGTGATCCAGGCCGACCTTGATAGGCTTGCAAGGTGGGCGGATGAAAATCAGGTGGCGTTCAATACGGAGAAATGCAAGGTGCTCCACCTCGGGAATAAAAACCTGCAGCATGCTTATAGGCTCGGCAATGCTACGCTTGCTAGCACCATGACCGAAAGAGACTTGGGGGTCATGATTGACCACAAGCTGAATATGAGCCACCAATGCGATACCACAGCTGGTAATGTGAATAAAACTCTGGCTTGCATCTACTGATGCATCTCGAGCAAGACCCAGGATGTCATCCTCACACTGTACTTGACCTTGGTAAGGCCGCCGCTAGAGTACGACATCCAATTCTGGGCTCCACAATTCAAGGACGTGGGGAAGCTTGAAAGAGTCCAAAGGAGAGCCGCACGCATGATCAGAGGGCAAGAAAACAGGCCTTATGAAGAGAGGCTGCAAGCTATGGGACTCTTCAGCCTAGAGAAGCACAGGCTCAGGGGAGATCGGGTGGCAGCCTATAAGTACGTAAGGGGTGTGCATCAGGATCTGAGGGAATACCTGCTCACCAGAGCACCTTAGGGGATGACAAGATCCAACAGTCACAAACTCCTGCAAGACCATGTTAGGCTGGACATAAGGAAAAAACTTCTTTACTGTCCAAGCCCCCAAGGTCTAGAACAGACTCCACCCCCCCACACCCCGAGGTGGTGCAAGCACCTACTCTGGACACTTTCAAGAAACTTTTGGATGCTTATCTTGCTGGGATCCTTTGACCCTAGCTGACTTCCTGCCCCTTGGGCAGGAGGCTGGACCTGATGATCTTACAAGGTCCCTTCCAGCCCTAATGTCTATGAAATCTATGAAATTAGTAGGAGCATTGCCAGCAGATCAAGGGAAGTAATAATTCCACTCAATTCTGGACTGGTGAGGCCACATCTGGAGTACTGTCCAGTTTTGGGCCTTCCAGTATAGAAAGGATGTGGACAAGTTGGAGAGAGTACAGTGGAGAGCAACAACAGTGGTTTAAGGGTAGGAGCTCATTACTTACGGGGAGAGGCTGAGGTACCTGGGTTTATTTAGTTTAGAAAAGAGAAGACTGAGGGGGGATTTAATAGCAACCTTTTAACAACCTCGGGTGGTTACAGTGAGGATGGAGCAAGACAGAACAAGGAACAGTGGTCTCAAGTTGCAGCAAGGGAGGTTTAGGAAACATTTTCTCACTAGGAGGGTGGTGAAGTACTGGATCAAGTTACCCAGCGGTGGTGGAATCTCCATCTTTGGAGGTTTTTAAGGCCTGGCTTGCCAAAGCCTTGGCTGGAATGATCTAGTTGGGAATGGGTCCTGCTTTGAGCAGGGGGTTGGACTGGATGACCTCCTGAGGTCCCTTCCAACTCTAATAATCTATGATTCTATGGCCGTGTCCACACGAACGTGGACACTTGGTTCCCCAGGGACAACTAGCAGTGGTGGACCTTGTGCCACTGCTAGTTGTCCCTGGTTAATGCCTCTCCCTCACCCCCTCTGGTGTACGGCAAGTTGCACTGGGTGGGGTAAGGGAGCCCCTTACCTGGGGCCCTGGGGGCCTCCTGGGGCTGCAGTAGCAGCAGTCCTGCTGCTTGGACTGACTGGCAGCTGGAATGTGGCTCCAGTTGGCTCAGCTCCATTTTTGAGCAGTGCGTGCTGCCCCTGCATGTGCTGCTCCACCTTTTTTTTTTTCCATGGAGATCCAGGGGTCAAAAAAAGCACTCACACTACTCCCTTGCAGCACAGAGAACACCTGACCATGCAGTATGTGGCTCTGCACACGTTTCTGTTGTTCCACATACCACACGGCCCCGCTCGTCTGGACACAGCCTATGATTCTAGCAGATGTGGGAAGGTCCACAGCTATTCACATGGGTTGGGGATAACAGAGGTAACACCAATACTCAAGTATGATCCAGCTTTTTGAAAATGGAGAAATAGGTTAAAAGATGTTTTTTAATTGCTTTTATAGATGTATGTTATAGCTATACCCTGTAATTTCCCTCTTATTAGCTGTGCTTTAATGGTGGCAACAATTGTCCTTTGCTGTTTTAAAACAACAAATGGTTTAATCAGTATTTTTCTAAAGCATATAGTAATTATGAAAATGCCATACGAGTTTGGGCTGACTGTTTGGGCTTTTCCTTTTGCTATGTGATCTGACTTAATTGTGTACAAGAGAGTAATCAAATCAGAACACACGTAATGCTAAGGACAAGCCATTTTGTTCTTTCACAGAATAAATTGTAGTACGCAACATAAAATAGTAGAAATGTCTCGTGTAAAATTGTCTTACTCCAAAACAGTGGTTAAAATGTCTGCAGCTTTGACGTGCTTTGCCCTTAAAAGTAAATGTGGCTATATACCATATTTACCCAAATCCAAAATGAGGCTTTTCCCCTCCATCAAAGGGGGAGGGGTGGGGGGGCTTCTCTTAGATTTGAATACTGGCCTGGGGCAGGTGCTAGCTCAGCTCTGGATTTGGCCCCAGGTTCAGGCTTGTTGCTTACTCCAGGCTGGAATGGCTCATTTGGCAGGGGAGGGAGCACGTGGCTTGTGGGGAGCACAGGGAAGACAGCAGGGTAGGGAGGGAACCTGTAGCCCTCCCCCCATCCCCTGCCCCCACTATGCCTGTGCTAGCCCCCCCCCGCAGCTGTTCCTTCCTTACTTTCTGTTCCGGCTCCAGCCCCAACCCAGCTGGCTGGGAGTTGCTGCCACTTGTCCTTGTCTGGGCCTGGGCCTGGGCCTGGGCTGAGCTGAAGGTGGACCGTGGCTGCACAGCTGCTGGCTTAGGGGCAAAGCTGTAGCAGAAGGTATGGGGAGAGGTGGGCAGGGAGGTTGAGTGGGAGGAGGCACAGGGGCAGGGGACCACGTACAGGCAAAGGAGAGAGGCAGGCTGTAGGGCAGAGTAGGGGTGGGGGGGAAAGCAGGCTGCAAGGAG